GCGGGCCAAGGTTTAAACCGCGGGCTCTCCCTGCCAGGCTTTACCCTTCCAGGGGTCTGTGGGGGGAAAGGGGGCTTCGCCTGCACCTCCAGAAACCCGCGTTCTCGCTTTTTGCCGCCGGGATGACCCGCCTGTATCGCGGGGCACAGACAGGCAGCAGCGCTGCCGCTCACCAGGCGAGGAGCAGGACCTTGCCGCGGTGGGAGCGGGCTTGTTGTGACACTCACACTGCCCTTTCCAATTTTATTACGTTTTTTTAATACAGGAATTACTTCCTTGTGGCTCTGTGCTCTCAAAGCACCACCGCAGTACTGTGATCTCGCGTTCACCCGGGCGAAGCCGTCGCTTCGTGCCAGTAAATGGCAGCTTTCGTAGAACGAGCATCCAGGGCCATTGTGAACGTCTCGCACCTGCCGGATACAGGTAACCCTCCCGACTAGACACTGCTACAAAATTAAGGACCAAGATCTAGATCCTGCGGTGAGATTCACGCGCAGGAACCATTAAATACAGGATCCCATTCCGTATGAAAACGCCTCCCACTGATACTTCAGGCTAAATATCTCATTTAGCCCTTTTCTGCAACTGTAAGTCACCTGGGAAGAACTAATGAGTCTCGCTGCCTCCAGCAGAGCCACACTAAACACTGACCTTAACAGCTGTGAGGTGCATTCCTCACATGCACAACCTATTGACTCACTGAGATACCATAAACATCTCGCCGAGAGAAAAGAAGCACAATAGGCTTTATCAAAAGCTTCCAAGCGCTTTTTCAAACTCGTTGAACCGGGCATTCAGCAGCCCAGAGGAGCACCAGGTCACACTCTTTGTTCTGAAAAGAATTGTAATAATGCAGCGTATGCACTTTGCTTTCCTGTAGCTCACCCCAAAGATCTGTTTGCCCTGACTGACAACTTTTACCTCCGAACACCCATGCAAAGTACGCCGATACCTTTTAACACAAGTAAACATTACCGTTTACAGGAGATGAGGCTGAGACACAGCTAAAACGTCAACACTATCGAGCGCCGTTCCCGGAGCTCAACGTCCCATTCGAGGGCATTTGGCTTGGCACATGGGAGATACAAGGCTAGAGCTGCTCGCCAACCTCTCTGTTGCCAAATAATGCCGGGTGCTAGGGGTTATCAGCATCTTGGAAAGCAATCCTGTTACCTTCCTCCTTGCTGAGGGCAGCGGTAGCTGGCAGGGCTGCCTGTGGCCACAGGGCGAACAGGAAAGGGTGTGGTGGCGGCTGCCACATCGCATGAGCTGACTGCTTGCCCACGCTGCACCCAGCGCCCGATGGGTTTGTCCTCTCCCCGCAGACTTGCGCCTGGCTCGAGTTGTTCAAATAACTTTCCCCAAGTCATACAGCCGCAGAGTTAAAAATAGAGATGGGACTGGCTGAAGCCCTTTCTCAGAACTAACCAGAGCCCCCTTAAAGCTTTATAAACACTACCTCCCCCCTTTCTTCCCCATTTCCTGTCTGCATCTCTCCCATCTGTCCACATATTTAGCCCGCCAGCTCCCCTGCAAGCCTGGTTCGTACCGCCGTGGATAGCAAACTAGTTGCCAGGTGTGTCTGAACCAAGGCTGCCCTTCCAAGGCTAATTTATCCCGCGTTACACTGCCTCAGCGCGTTCTGTTTGTCTGAAGCCCATTTACTCCTTCAGAGCAGCCCGTCTTCCACACATCACACGGAGGGCAGGTGCATTTACTACTACAAGGGCACGCAAGAACCCTTTGAACAGAAGGAGCTGTGCACAGCCAGGGAGTAAGAAACTGCATACAGCTGCTGATGCGAAATTTTTCAGCTCATTCTGTGGTCAAAACTGGAATCTCACTTGCTGTTGCTCCCTCCTCACTAATTCCTCATGTTTAATCTTAGCCTTCTGGAGACACCCTCTACTGTCATCTCTCAGGCATTCAGTGGGAACCCAAGGGAGGAGGTTCAGCTTTAAGGAATGCCATGTTTCCCTTACAAACGCAGAAACTTAACTGTCTACGCCCCAACGAGCTATCAGGGAAAGTTTAAACTTCTCTGGCAAGCTATTGTTCTTGGCTCACGTTTTCATCAAAGCTGTTTTTCTCATCACGACTCATTTATTGTTTTATATACGTTCACTCAGTTTGAAGAAAGATTTCTGCCTCCTGCTTTGTCAGCATCAGCTATTCACAGAGTAGCTGACACAGAAGTCATGCTCATTACGTTTTTCTTTCCATTTGTAAGAAATAAAGAAAAAAAGGTTACGAAGCTCAGCTTATAAACAAAGATCATGGCAACACATTTATTGTAGGAATTAGGTGACTGCAATGAGAAAACCTGTAATAGAGTACCTTGGCCTTTGAAGAACAGAATGCATACCAACACCCTTAGCTTGAAACACATGGCTTTCAAGTTTCTGTACCTTTAGTTTCAAAGGGCTATATGATGATGGTCCTAGAAGCAAGCCCAGGAGGAGAATAGCTGTCAGAAACAAGTTAGTAGAATGAGGTTCCATGAGGTACTGGCAGAAGATAAAGCTCTGCTCCTTCAGTTTTGTTTAGCAAAAAAATAATTTAAAAAACCCAAACAAACCATCAAAGAATAAGCCACTGTGAGCCTCTGCAGTGATAAAGAAAAGTGTTTGCCTCTAGATTCAGAGGCTGCAGGGAACTACAAAGTGTGGCAGAAACAGCATTAAATCACCTTACCCTGTCTCTGCTCTGAGCTCTTCCTAATCCAGACCTCTTAACCACTGCTAAACCTCCTTCTTCTCCTTCGAGGCCCTTCCTCCTTAAGGCACACCGCTGTTCAGTCAGACCTTCTCTTTTTTTGTGGTTACTGGGAATCTCTTCCTGCTGCGACCTGCCGCAGGACACACACACTCGTTGTCAAGGCTCCCCCAACCCTGACAGCAGGTACTTAAAGGCTCAGAGCTGCCTTTCCACTGGGCCCCGACATCGCTCCTCGCACACCTGAGGCTGCCACAGGCCCGGCCCCGGCCCCTC